CATACACAATATAACAATGCTCTATTCATTGTAGTCAATTTTCACCTTTCTCTTCATGGTTGTGACGATGTTACTACTCGCATTGCACCTCAATTTCTCTATTGACGGCAATTGGCCTTTGTTGTCGAATCAATTACGATTTTCGATCAATTGATTTTCATTGTATTTACATTCACCTCTATGATGAGAGTTTTACATTTTCGTAATGAATGTTTGAAAAAATAGCTGTCAAAAACGATCGATTAGCCCCTATAGCATTTTCACTCTGCCTTCGCTTTTCTGTGATTGTCTAGAATCGTAAGCCTGCGTACATAGTTCGATTGCGTAAAACTAGGTGAGGTATAAGTAAATATCTGACAAATGAGGTCATGAGAGTCACTGCATTTGAATAACGTCTCCGAATTATGAAGTATTCAAGCTGTTATTTCATTAAACACACTTGTATAAGTCTAATACTAATAAGACATAAAACCATACACGATTGATTGGCAATGCCAAAGTGAACGGCCGTCGCTTTTCGGACTATTGAAGCTAATATGACTATCAGTACCGCCACTTATAAAGATATTACAAACTCACAATGGTTTCATCGTGACAGAGGTCTGTTTCTGCTGCGGTACATGATTTGTGACTCAGCAGTGTCATGGAATCTGAAGAGGACTTCAACGTTCGTATTATGAAAAATAACTATGGAAGGCGTATACCAAGGCAGAACCTAGAGAAGCTATCACTCGATCGTGTTCCTCCAATAGGGCAAAGCTACAGAATTTTATAAATTTCACTCGGTTCCTTCCGCTACTGGGTGCCTGTAATGCGATTAGTACAGATAAAAAATAGGATTTTATATGCTTATTTATTCTGTTCTATGTAAATCTCATGAGTTAAACCGCTCCTTGCAACTCTTTCTTATATGTAAAAGAATTTTTTAACTCATCACATGAATACAAGTTATTGCATATTAGATTTGCTCTACTAGTGCAAATCAGTGTATCATCTTCTTCCACTTTTATTTATAACTGGTCATAACCGTTCCCCCATTTATCAACTCTTATAGCATTTATCAATGAAGTCTTCACGGTTACAATGTGTTCGTTCCATTTAATCTTCTGTGTAGGACGAATGAATTCTTGTTCTTCTATTGACGCCAATAGTGACCATTTTCATGTTCTCGCTTCTCGGTGAAGAATTGTGAACCTTGGGCATCAAGTTGTTGCAATATTGTTAAGCCATGGATCACTTCATTTGAGCGTTTTTCATTCAACGCCGTGAGCTTAAGCCATATAAGCTTCGACGCTTCACAACATGAGAGTGTGACCACAGGATATCTATAGATTTGGATTCATTGACAGCTCCATTTATTGCCCGAACAGCACAAGCACAGCGATGTCTTTCGGTAGTCTCTTATTTGTTGTTTGTATAGTGCTGAGGTCTTTGGCTCGCAATCCGTGTAGAAAACACTCCGTTGCGAAAGAGAGGCAGTGACCGAATGTCTGTCATCCTCTTGTTTATATTATCGTCATTGTTAACCTGTTCTTATCCCTCCTTTTCTTCTACAGATCTTTGATATGCTGTCTTATTTTTGAGCTTATTTGTGACCTTCAGAGGTCTTGATGCGTAAAATGCTATGGAAAAAGCTCTCTTTTTTGAAAATTGGATGTTAACGATTTCATGCTAATTGCTTGAATATATTCGAACATGAAGACTACTCTCATTACGACGCTATGTTGGTGGTTCGATTGGTTCTGCTTCCCCTTTGCCAATGCGAGTTTCTTAATCGAATAGAATTTTCCCTTCATCAAAGTGTTCCTCCATCTACAGCAAAAAACGTTTCAATGTCAGTGAAATATCTCACTTCGTCATGCTTGTTCTACTTTTTGACACCTTTTCATAAACACCAATAAAAAGTTTAAGTCACCTAGTAAGTCTGATTAGCAGGCGAAAGTATATCAGATGAGGAAAAGTTTCTGTCTAATCGTCTTTTGTTGAGATTACTGTAATGTCTGTCTGGTGACTAACACACAAAGGAATATTGCCTTCTGGAAGTGTAACTAACACTACCATGCAGAAAGGATTAAAACAAAGTATTCTGCATTGGTCAATTCCTTTAAACCCTTTATACATTCGACTTCATTAAACTTCTAATGCTTGTTCACTGGGCTTAACTCACCTACAAATACCGTTAACAGTACTTGAGAGGGCAAGTATGTTGTAGTAGTTGAAGATGCTCTGCAACCGTGCATGACCGGTGGATGGTTCCTCCTTTCTAGCTGATTGAATCTAACAATTTTACTTCCCAACGCAAAGTTGGTATCTCTGTGGGAGGATAAGCACTCATTTCATGTAACGTTGAAACAGATTAGTTAGTATAAGCCAAATCTGCATTCAATCACCATTGCGTTGCTTTCTTATTGAACTCGAATGTAGAAGGGATTTTGAAGCAAAGAGATCGAGCACCTTCTCTTTCTGTTTATATATATATATATATATATATATATATATATATATGTATAGTTCAATGTACAAACGAAACAAAAGTGATGTCATTCACTGAACAAAACTGCCACGTTTCTTTAAGACCATTTCATTCTCTCCATTCCACATAAGAATGTGCTATTCAAAAATTCTCGAAAGAAAAGGCCTTATCATCATTGAACAGCAATCATAGGAAAGACGATATCAAATCTACTCAAGAGAATTGAGTGATGAGCAAAAAACACGACGTCAGACGGGAGTCGAACCCGTGTTTCCTCCATACGGGGACGCGTGCTACCACTACACGACCGAGATACATTCGCACCACCACTCATCCGACATTGAAGACGATATTGATAGGTAGCACCCTAAGTCAACGCAGTATCTTACAAACTTTTGTAGATGGTAAATGAGAGGAAACGAATCGATTTCAAGAGTTTGAAACTCGTGCAACAGCAGCTCAACGCATGCAAATGCCTTTGTTCAGCATGGGTTACTCATTAGCCATAACTGAGAAAATTATTCCAGCCACTATAGCTGTAGAGAGGGAATTATTATTAGATTTGAACCTGTTAGCATAACCGTACTTTTACGTTCCAATCAATATCGTCTCATTCGAGAGCAGAGCTGCATAAAAAGGCGCTTTCCCGTGTTGTAGGGAAGCATGTTTTTTCTGTCGAATGTACACCGCTCAACTCCCACCCTTAAGTATCGTGGATTCGGAATGGCATAGAAAGCACTAGATAGGAAGGCAACGAAATTTGTTTATCCGTGTCGTTTTCTTGGAAATCAAAAAACTTGGTAAAAATTCGGATATCATACAGCTTGGCTATGAGATTTTTCTGTGGTGGTTGCTACTGAAAATTAGAGAAATGAAAGCAAAACACCAACTATTGTTAACCTAATGTGAATAAAGTCTAGTCATACAGCAGAGTTTTATCATAAAAATTGTTCGTTTGGCTCAACGTACAATGACAATGAATTGCTTCTGACATGTGTTTTATGTTCGGTCGCATCTGCTTGTGAAACTTCCTACTATGGGACAAAATCGCATAACCAACTGTTCTTGCACATTTTTCTCGGGAATATATAATCTACAGTATACGACTTCTCTCTCTAACAACTTATATAGAGGCAGTTTTATCATGGATCGGAATAAGCCTTGATAGCTATCGCATTCATCAGTTTGTGGGTAACTTCTTTAGAGATGCATATTTCTAATCCTGAACCATTAAATCTTCTACTCAAAATATTTTTTAAACAATCATTCATTTAGCCTTTAAGCTTTCCTGGGAAATTACTAACGATGGACATATTTTAGTTCAGCCGATGCACCACTATTTCAGTTTTAGTGATAGTTAAGTCGTTGCTTGTGTGCTTTGCGATAGAGTAATGTTCTTTGACTCGTCTTGATTTGTCCTGCCACGCGCATTTTTGGGATAGGATTTATCCTTATAACGAACAACCTAAATACATCAAAATATGTACACACATGTACAACAACCATCATGAGCCTCAACGATACAGATTTAATCATAAAAGAGAACGATAATGATGCCAAGAACAAGTGAGTGACGATGTCGAAAATGAATGATTGATTCGAGATATATGATAGGAAGGGGTAATTGGTAGCTGATGTCTTGACACCTAGTTAGTATTATAGAACGATGAGTGGAAGGAGATAAAGAGAAAGAGCAAGCAATGAGAACGTAAAGAGGAATCAAGTCCCATTGTTGGCGTGATTCTCCACCATCGCTATCTTCCTTGACCGCTGAGCAACCATGTTGTCGACAGGTGTCCGCCATCAGCAATGTCCCGGCTACATCACGATTTCGGCCGATAAACACGCTAATTATGTCGCTTTCCGATTATTTGAGGCAGTGTCCATAGGATACAATGTTTACTTATTCGATAAATTTATCTTATATTTTCATCCTTTACATAATGTTGTGTTATCTACAGTATGTATATGTACGACGCAAAAGGAAATAGCAGTTGTTTGGCGGAACAACTGCTATAGAACAATCTCAATTGAGACCAAGGAAAGATCAGCAGATACATGAGAATTAAATCAGGCAAAGCCAAAGCCTAAAGCAATTATCCACAATTATTTGCTCTATAAAGTATTTTATAACTCTAATTAACGAGTTTTAGTAGCTAGCGCATCTTCTACAGCTTGTTCTCTCCATAGCTCTTCTATGGAACAAAGTTGGGAAGATGTTGAAAAGAAATACCTACTGGACACTACGAGGGGAGGATAAGTGAATGGGTGGACAACTGGACTGCTGCATTTATAGAGGTTTGGGCGAGGCAGATTGCAGGGCATACCTGGGACGTCACCTGTCTTTCGCCTTCGTTAATAGCCCTAGGTACGATACCTCTTTAGTATCTGGCGGCGAGCTTGTTTTGCTTAGACGAAGAAATATGCGGCACACGTGTAATACACAGAATTCTTCTTATTTAACCACTTTTAGCGGTGTTATATTGTTACAAATATACCAAATAATGTTGAGTGATGTGCAAAACCATGACGTCAGGCGGGATTCGAGCCCACATTCCCACCCTTTCAGGGACGAGTGCTTAACCAAGTGCACTACCGACGCCCGTTTTGTCACCACTCTCTCTATGCTACATCGTCAAAATTTTACACATCACTCAACACATATAAAGATACGGGTTAGCATAATATGACTGAATAGAGAGTATTCGATAGAAAATCTTAGTATTTGCACTCGATGTCAACGATCTCTATACGCTTCAAACCTTTAGAATGCACAATCTTTTTCGATTTCGGAATTATGGTGCCTTCATCATCTGAGCGATTTTGTCGAAACATCATCCGTGACGAGCTGTAATGTTCCATGTTGTCGTTGAACTTGTCACCGACCATTTCATTGTCACTATTAGCCAGCAATCGCTCGAGCAGTATTTCTCAACCTTTATCTGCAGATAACTAAAACTTTTACGTAGTAAATTTATTGTAGCTTCTTCCGTGCAAAAATTTGACTCATCTCGTGTAATACCCCACGATAGAATTGAAGGGGGATAATTATTGAAGCACATGGTGGGTCACGAGGATTGTGGTGCAATGATGGTCTTTCAAAACCTTCGCATGTGACCATATATAAATTATTTGAAAAGTTTGTAAATTTAGGAGTTACAGTAAATTGTCTTGGAAACATAAAACCAAGAAAATACCCTGGACACTCAAAATCAACAAACATGTCCAGTGACAAAGGTTGCAACGATGAATTATGTTCATCGTGATATATATGGATAATAAAAAGTGAATACTCCTAAAACGATAAAAAAAAAAGTTCTGTTCTATAATTCTTCAGAGAATCAGATAGTGAAATACTTCTATAAGTCAAAAATTTTCGAAAGTTATCGGCAAAGTGGTAGCGCATGCACTGAACAGCACTATTTGACAAATTATTTATTGTTTTCCAATATTCAAATGCTGTGATAACTTCTCGCTATTGAACGGAATGAGAGGAATTCAAACTCGAAAAATTTATTTCGTAATTTATGACTTCAGAAGTACAACACTATAATGTAATAGGTTTTTTGAATTATAATTGATTTGCTCAAGTGTATGAAGTGAGTTGTTGTTGACACAATGAATGAAAGATTGTTTTTGAATTGTGAATAAATATCAAGATAACAACATGAAAATATTCCGCAACAATTCGAAATATGATTTTAGCACAGGCATCTGGTTTTCCTCGTGAAAAATGTATAATCCTCGCATTTAGAGCGGAAATTGACGTTGTTCTACTACAGATAGCCTTGATGAAGTCTCCTCAATCATATTCTACTATTTTCTGTCGATAAATTTTCTTTGAATGGAGATAAAAAGTCAAAAATAATTAGAAAACTACCACACTGTCATTGTAACACCACTTACCCATCAGAGAATCGAAGTGGTTCCAAACGGGTTAAGACAAGACAGTGTGCTTGCCCTAGATCCACACATATTCATAACAACTGGGTAAAATAATGGCCTGATGGCTCGACCTTGCGATCTTCTCCTCCCATTTCAAACATTACTAGCGTCCTGATACTCGATTATATCTAGTTAGTGAAGTTCATCTCCTTCGTTATTTATCTCGCAAAGTGGATTTTGATTATTGAATTCTATTCACATAAACGATATTTGTGCAATAATGCTTCATATCTCATAAATCTATTCGGAGGATTTCGTTATTGTCGTTGCAATTCCATACGTTTACTATTTTTTCACTGAGTTAATTTACCATGTGTTTTGTTATTAATACACTTTTGAACTTCGTTTTTTGTTCTAGAATAAAGTATTTACAGGCTCAAGATTTCTCTGAGAAGTTTGCCGTGGAGAAGAACCAAAAAGACGTTTGGCATAACATCATCCCTCAATCGAATTTTGCTAATACACCTCCGAGCTCACTTCATCTGATTTCTTTGCTCGTATCGCTTAATCATAAAAGTATTTGGTTTTTTGTATAGGTTCGATTATCACTTGACGATTTTGTGTTTCATATGAATGTCTTCGAATAGAAGTCGAGTCATATATAATCTTTGAAATCCTAAGATATCTCTGCTAGCAGCAGTGACTTCTTACCACGGGCATCCACCGAATTGTCGCAAACAATGGAACGCTTTTTCACAAGAAAAAAAAAAGCTTTCCGGTATTCTCGCCCTATACGCACCTATTTTCACCCTTTGGAAGAAACGTGTCTTTTGATTTTTCTATTCTAGTAGTCATTTGATAGCATAAATATCGACAATTTCAGCGGGATCTTGGTTTTCGAAAAAGACTTTTTTGCGCGCTATCAGTAAAGTAAAATCATGTTTCACACTTTTACTGGACACAGCTTTTCTTCCAGTCGTCCAATAATTACACGATGGAACAAATTTCGAAAATTTCAAGGTTATGTCTGGTTTTTAGAAAAGACTCCACAAGAAGTTTGAATTTCGCACTCGGTGCACATTTCTTAGTGGTATTGGCTTGATGCCGTTTGTTGCAATGTTCCGAAAGCGCGATGGCTTCATGCTCTTGTGGTGAAGTCCCATCTACTTGTAAGAAACAAGAGTGCGCACCTAAAACGCAATATTATTTCCAGTATCACAACGGAGCAAAAAATCTTTTCAAAAGTATAAGTACATCATTGAAATCGTTGAGATTTGAGCTATCGGATGATTACTAAATGTCTAAGCGAGAAGCTTTGTCTAGCAAAAATGTTTGAGTGTTATACATAATTTTACTTTTACTGTCACAGCATTGTAAGCAGGCCATTTGAAAACTAAAATATACTGTTGACATTCTCGCTTATTCTATCCAATGAGTACTAAAATTCTGAAAAATGCAAAAAGAGGGTTTTCTTCAAGGAGCTGAAAGTGGCTGCGGATAGGGGAAAACTTTCTCTTTCTTCGATGAAGAATGACTGGTCTACCACGCAATCCTCGTGCATCACCGAACCATGAGATATAATGTGTTTGCTGAGGCATAGCTCAATATCATTGCTTTACCTTCTGAATTTGTCAGTTTTGTAGAAGTTATTTGATTTTTGCTTTGCTCGTTTTAATCTTGCTTCACTACGTCTTTTTGTGACAATTTGTTGTCAATAAAACTGGAAGTTCCCATAGACGAAGCACAGAGTTCATATGTTGCAAATTCCTCCCTTTTTGTGAAAAATAAATATTTGTGGCAATTTGGTTTATAGTAAGCATGCTTTAGGTGAATTGGCTAATGAGTATGATTAATAATCTTGGAACGCGACTATTCAAATCAGTTACTGACAAGGCTGGTGATCTTGGCGACAAATTCGAAGAGGAGTTTTCTCGGCTATCGAATAACATTACAGGTACGCCTACGTGCAACAGATGATCTGGAATGTTTGGAAGATAAAGATGATTCGATAATAGAATAAATGAGGCCTTCTCAGTCTCTAAAGAATTTACCATGCATTAAATTCTTCAAAGCATCGTAGTGTTGATTGAATACAGATTTAGCATGTGCGATGACTTGCGATCCCTTACGAATGTATCAATTCAGCATTTTCCTTCTCTCGGACAAGTATGGTGCCAACTTGCTGAAGCGATAAGGACAGATAGCGCGTGTAGCGCAGTGGGTAGAGGTGCCCTTTAACTCACACATGATCGATACTACGACTCCACGCCCAAGCTCTGCGAGCCCTCCAATCCTTTGAGGCAGGTGAATTGATAGTAGATTTGTCTGACAAAGTAGCAGCACTAACTTGATTCGTTGTTAGTCCGCTTTTATTATGAAGGAAGGCTAGATGTGCATTTATTCGCCTCAAACGATGCTTCATGAAGTCAAGTGGATGGCACTTCCTTCAGACTAATCAACGTCAAGAGTCTTACTTGGTCAAAGAGCATTCGAGAGTAAAAATTTCACCTGACATAGAGCGTAAAACATTCGTCTGCGATGACTCTTTATAAGGAGTGTAAGGCTCCCGAGAGAACTGACTATAAAAAGATCGAAAGACGACGGGTTCTGCCCGGATGACGAGTCTGTAAGGACGAAACACGTGTATCGGACTGTACAAGGGCCCTTAGCAGACCACATGACAAGTTGGCTCAAATAATAATGAAAGGATCTACTAAAATTTGAGCGTGGTCTAAACAAAGCACTCGAAATAAAAGTATAGTTAGAATATTTAACCAGGAGCACGTATTCACGAAGAATAACTTAGTCTGAGAATCAAATGCTTTCCTTCTTAATACGATGGAATTTAGCTGCTGCCGATGACTACTAAATGTTGGGAATTAGAGAAACTACCGTGAGGCACGTTTAACGTACTGATTAAAGGTGCACTTCAATTCACAGAAAGGTCGTTGGTTATATTTAACTCGCTACCGAGTCTCACAATATTTCGTCCGACGATCAGCAAAGGGTTGGTATCAGGATTGTCTGAGAAGATAGCAGCGCTGATTTGATACATCGGTAGGCTATAACAAGCCGTTATAATTCTCTTGTAAACGTTCATGAGCTGATCGACTCACAACGAATTATGTTTTACTCTTTCTTCTCAAGGAAATTCTGGTTTTTTAACAACTGATCTTGCCTTCTTCGTCTGTATTATGAGTAAGATTTGATAGATTTCAGCTGAAGTCGAGGCTGTCGTCGCTGAGGTAATTTCGCTCTCCGGATTCATCAAAGTGTCGCTTGTGATTCTATGTGTCTTACTTGTGAGTGCAATTCCAGAACGTATTCATCTGATTATCGAATAAAATTCTATTTTTATTTGTTAAAATTTTATTTACCTCCGAATTCATTCATTTTATTTTTGTTTTTATCTACAGTCGCGTGAATTGTACATGACTCATCAATATCCACTTAAGGTGCTTGCCATCATTCGACTTAGTGCTTTTGGATTTCGCTGTCTAATGTTTAAGGCGAAGGATTGGATGAAATCGGACGAAAACAAGCCACCTCCACAGGTACATATTTAGCAAGTTAGAGGTCAAAGGGTAACTTCTGTCAATGAACATTCATACCCAATCGTTGGTAATTCAACTTACTAATGTTTCAAAAAGTTGGTACTGTCAAAGCAGTACCATTCTTTCATCACAATTGTGTTAGGTCTTTTAGAAGTTTGAAGCA